CTTTCCTCAGCATACATCTCCCGCTGAGTATGCATTCTTCCCGTGGCACAGGAGGAGGAGAAAAGGGGGCAGTGACCAGAATTTTTTTTAAAAGTGTAGAGCGGAAGCATAAGAGTGTGTTGAAGAAGAAGAAAAAAAAAAGCAATGAGAAAAAGGGGGGTCTCCGTGCAGAGGGGAAACACTTGGCATGGCTAAAGCTGTATACCCCAGCTCCGGGCTGACCTTCAGAATGGCTTGCACAGAGCCAGGTATTTAACACAGCTGGCCTTGCATTCTTCCTTCCCTGTCTCTCTCTCTCTCACCCCCCCATATAGCCTCCTTCCCTTTCTTTCAGGAGTTGCACTGCCGCTCCTAATACCCCCCTCACTCCTTTCCATTCCTTTTCCCCTCACTTTTGCTCCAAAAGCAAGCCTCATAGTCCCCATCCCTGAGTTTTCAAAAGGATGAAAGATAAAAGTGGAGAAGCCAGGGGGTGGGGGGCAACAGAGGAGGGGATCAGAAGAGAACTAACGCAAACAAGAGAGAAGAAGAAAGTGAGAGGGCTGCGGTGGGGAGGTGGTGGTGTTGATTCTGTACTGTAGCTGCTGCCATTTAGGGTTTGCTTTCTTTTTCCTTTAAATAAAACTTTAGTCGGATGAGAAGAGGTGAGGAGAGGGAAGCAGAAAAGACAGAAACAAGTTCCACATGTTGTGAATGTCTTGGGTGACAATGGGAGGGCAGAGAAAGGCACCAGTCTGGCAAACAGGCATCACACTAAAGGAAAGTGGGATGTGAACAACCCGCCACTCCTACCAACACATTTGCTGTCTGTTCTCCAGAGAAGATAGCTGTCAGCTGTCATTGCCTGTCCTACCCATTACAGAGGTTAAAATTAAGTTTGAGATGTTGTGCCCCATTAGCTACCGAGCATCTATTCCAATGTGCCATCAACAGATCTGCTATAGATTTATATCTACGAGGACAGTGAAGGCACAGTACAGCAATGTCATCATCCATTATTTGCCGGTTGGGGTCAGAGTTAGCCGTGTTCTGCCAACTTTTTATTCTGCAGAACTACTTCAAAGCTGCAGAAATCCAGGCCAGTGCCAGCAGAGGGCTGGTGAGAGCAGCCAGAGAGTGAAGAAGTGACAGACCATTTGCTACAAACTTAGAAACCCTGAAGTGAAGAGTGGGAAACTTGTGCTCTAGAAAAACGCATAACATTAGACTATATTGATTAGTAGTCTACTTATGTGCAGCTGGTTCTGAAGCTAAACACAATTTAAAGCTGGTGCAGCCATACCTGTATCCCCTCTCCATCACCTCCACCGTCCTCATGGACACGGGGGCCCTGTGCGCCTTTACTGACAGTCCAACCAGCGCTTTGGCTTTAAAATCACAACTCCACTCCTCCTCTTCATTGAGCGTTGGCAGGTATCCACATACAACTTTCAGGTCGCCCAACCCGTTCGAGGTGACGTGATTCGGGTTTTCTCCACCAGTCCTCACATACTCGAGATAAATGTCAGAGGTCAGAAACATCTGGTATGCGTTCTCCTCCATGTTGGTTTGGATCTCGGTCTGCGCCTGGTCGAACATTGCCGAGTCTATGTGCTGCTTCTTGATATTATCCCGAATGAATGTTTTAGTCGCGGGCTTGAGCTGCTTGGCAACAACGCTGTTGTTTTCAATGTAGCGCTTGTAAATTGCTTTGGCGACTCTCTGCGTTTTGGTATCCTTGAGGTCCATTTGCCTGAAGCCATTGCATGCGAACCAAAAGTCTAGAGTATCGGCACATTTCTCTCGCTCCAAGAATGTCCTAAAAAGAAGAGCCCCATCCTGATCCCCGAGGAGAGAGTGCAAAGACTTTGTCCACCGAGAAAGAGGTGAATCCGGGGAGGCGCTCCCCTCTGGCTCCCCAAGACCATCCTCGTTCCTCCTCGCCGAGGTACCCGGAGAGCCGAGCAAAACCGATTTGGGGGGTTCCAGGGATTTCACCATAGCGAGTTTGCCAGGGTAGCAGGGCGCCTCGCCCTCCTCCCCAGGCACTGGGGGTCGAGGAGCATCTTCTCGGAAACTACTGGCGCTGTGGTCCGTAAACACCCGGCTCATGGCTCTGAAGGCGCCAGGAGCGAGTGTGAGTGTTGTCCGCCTCCTCTGAGCTTCTACTGTAACGTCCTCACTCTCTTATGTCAGCGGGGGAGCTTCTCTGGCTGCTCGTCTCCTCTCTGAAACACACAGAAGAGATCTAATCAAAACCAGATCCGCCCCAACTTCAAAGTGTCTCTTCAGACCCTCACAGAGTTTTACTGAAAAACACGGTTAGTTCCCAGAAAACGCTGCATAAACGGCTGCTCTCCACATCTCAGCCTGGAACGTGATTTCTACAGATGCGCTACTTAGGACGCGAATTAACAAGAATTTAACAGTGATCCTGCCTAGTGGAAAACCACCGAAAAAGACATTTACATCGTTTTCCATTTCGCCTACAACACGAGAAATTGCTACTGGCTTTTGAAGTGGACACCATTAATAAGTAATTTATCCATAAAAACGCCAGAATTCGTCTTTTTTGGCGCTTATCACGCCGCTGGGTTAGAGGATTTCTGTCCACTTTATTTAAATGACTGTGTAGACATTTCTACATCTCATCACAAGCGACTTAAGTTATGTCAAATCGATCCTCCCCGTGAATACCTGTAGGACACCGATGTGGGGCCAAACTGGAAGAGATCGACAAACGTGACCAAAATATCTGATGGAGTCTGCTGCTGTGTGTTTGGTGTAGCCTGCCACTCACTGCTACAAGATCAGATGTTTAAAAAAACAAACTAATCCAGTTATCTGTTGTTCCATGTGCCTACTACAACGCCTGGCATCAGTTTTACCTTGTATCAGCCTCTGATGTGCAACATTTTCAGATGCCACTTTGTATCACTGCGCACGGTTACACCGCTCCAGTGTTAAACTTGTCAGAAAGCAGCCCCAGGCACAGCCATGAATCAAAACCTTGCAATGGGCTTCTCGAAGCAAATAACCAATTCAACACTGTAGATTAACCAGGAGACCGCGTACGTTACAGCCCGATCTATTTAATACGGCCTCACAGTCAGTCAAAGTTTCTTTAAGGCAAAACAACCCCTCTAACGTCCAATCCCAACTACACCAAGGATGTTGAGTGGGAGGAATCCCACAAAAAAGAAACCAGTACTTAGATATTTCTACCTTAACTTTAAATGTGAAATGAAACAAATGTCGAAAAGAAAATGGAGTAAACGCTACAGAAAGGACTCTGTGCGTTTTTTGGTCTTTAAACGTTGGAAAAGCGCCTAATTTGCCCCACAGCGTTGGGCTACTTCAAAGCCGAGGCAGCAGCACATCAAAGGGACTCCAACGGGGGCCAGTTTGAGGAGGCACTCACTCTTGTAACTTACCATCGATCCACGAGTTCTCGCCTCAAGATTAAACCCTTGTTTTTATCCACACGAAAAGCGCGTATAATCCACAGTGCTCGCCTGCGCAACGCGTCCACATAAGAGTCCGTTCAAGTCTGAGCCGGTTTACGAAGAGAAAATACATTCGAGAGGGAAAAATACAGCTATTCTCCCTCCTCTTTTTCCTCCTCCCTATGGTTTCAGGCTGCCATGCCGCTCTGTAGGTCTCTCCCGTAGGCGACTCCAACACCAACTGAACCGAGAGGCTGGAGCAGCGCACTTCAAAGTAAAGAGCCGACTGCCGGGTCCCGGCAGCTGCATAAAAAACAATTGGAGCCCGATGCCTCCTAATAAAGCAAAACGAGCGGCGCAGATTTAAAGATACGTTTCATCCACAGCGGCTGTAACGTATTTTAAAGGTTCCTTGGTTTATTCCTACACCTGCGACCCTTTTACCGCGGTTTGCCAATCTTTTCCCAGATCTCGAAGTTGCAGCTACATCGTGAGGACCTTATCAAAGACAAGCAATCTTGAGCCAACTCCCTGAGGCTTTGGAGCGTCAGAAGTAACTGATCTGCCGCCCCAGTGGCATTATCGCTACAATCCCTCTGTTGCTACATAAACTTTAAAGACGCAGGGATCTTTTCTTTTCAAGATCCGCATAGTTCTCCAGATTAACCCGCTGGAATCCCGAGGACGCACAATGCATGCACCAGCGTGTATCAAATAGCATATTTATATCATCATATGAATTTTTTTGGTCACATAATAAGAAGACAAAGACCCAGTATAATAAAGAACCTATTATATGGACCCCCTTAAGAAACTCAGTTGAAAGGACAGAACCACAGGTCAGTGCCCTTGCTTCAGGATTTAAAGAAGGACATAAGTTCTCTAACTCAGGCTCGAAAACATGCTTTTTAAATAACAGTGACTTTAATCATCCTCACTTGTCATTAAGATACAGCCTGTTGCAAGAAGAAATCAAATCACAGTGGTGCTTTTACTCCACAGCTCCCACCAGTGGCAATAAGAGCACATGCACATTAGAACATCTGTTCACTGAGGGCATGTTTATCATACCACGCAAACAACAGAAGAGTTGCTTCTCTCCTCAGCTCTGACTGTGCATCCTCCTTAACAGCAGCATGAGAGAACGTAAACAGGAGTAAAAAGCCTATAGACAGCTCAGACATTCAATACACACCCATTCACTGGTCCGACTGGGAGGAGATGTTTGGTTACACACAGCAACGCACATTTTGGACTCTGCACTTTGCTTTATTTGTACTGGACTGGTTACAATCAGTGACGTTAATAGTGTTTATAGAACAGAGTCAGCAGTGTTTTAGTTAGCATTTCAAATGAGCCACCACAGGGGACTCTTTATGTAAGATGACTGGCTATATTCTTGAAAGAGAGACAGTAGATGTCTGTGTGTCCTAGTTGTCTCAGAGGACAGGGGTTCAAAAAGTACACAGCACAAAGACAGCAAACATCTTGATCAGCCTGTTTGCTAAAGGTGCTATGAAACTTTCTCTCTTGCTGCCTCACTTCCCATCAAGGTTAAATTGCTCTTGAAGTTGCCACGATGATTAACAGATTACTCATCATTCAAAGCTGCTTTATTGCCTTCAAATACTGTGTGCTCTTATCACGAAACATCAAACTCACTGTCCCAGCAAAAGAGGAACAGCAGTGATTCCCAACCAGAGGCAGCTACACTGTCTCCTGCACCCTAGGGTATTTCTGCAGCTGCTTATGGAGAGGCTGTGCAGTCTATATGATTTGAATAAAAAATATATAGCCTATCCACTTAGTGAGTTAGCTGCAACACCAGGGTACTGTAGTCAAAAGCATGTGAGCAGGGTGGAAAGCTAACTAAAGGTAATAGATAAATGATTGGAACAGATGGATAAACGTAACTTATCAGTGGATTCGTTGTTAAACTGCATAGCTAAACATAACAAATAAGTAGTCGAAATAGCTAGAAGTAATGGCCAAATGGTTAAAATAGTTAAAGGTAACAGATGAACAGTTGAAATTAGCAGCTACAAGTAATTGATGGTTGAAACAAACAGCAGTGTCAGCAGTATTTGAGTTCATCTCATGGGTATGTCTGACAAATAAGCAGAACAACTTTAAAGATCAAGGTAGGAAACAACCATGCCAGATTTGAGACACTAATGACCCTGAATTTCCCTCAGGATCAATAAAGTATATACCGATCTATCTATGACTCACAAGTAAAACAAGTCTGCACAAACGCCATTCCTAAAAGCTCATCTCCACAGTGTGGGTCTCTCTAGGTGTACAGGTCATGTGGCTAATACACAGAGTGTTACCCAGACAGTGTCAGGCTTTGTTAACTTTGGAGGGTCATGGCTCAGCTCTGACAGTAAACACACCAGGGTGGAAACCATCACCATGGCGATTTGTGCAGACCCCCTGCCAGTACCAGGGGCCAGTTGTGCCCTCATGTCCTGCCTTGTCTACCCCCTCCATGGCTTATGGGAGGTCGCCATAGGTTGGGCCTTCCCTGCTGCCCCTCAGGAGCTGACCCCAGGTCTGTAAGTGGCCTGAGACCAGGGGGCCCTTTTTTATAGGACCAGGAGCCAAGGGGTGAGAGGTTATGGGGTGTAACGGTGTCTCTGTTTGGGAAGATATTATTACAGGGACAGGTCAAATTCAGTCTGACTACAAAGAGCACTATAAATAGAGTTGTAAGGGCAGCATAAATCACTTATGGGCCCAATCAGTTCACACACAAAGCAACGTTTCTATGATTATCTAAAGTCATATTTGATGAAAAACAACTTAAGAAGAGTAAACGTGTTTAACATATGGTCTCCTGAGCAACTTTGTCCTGTCATATCTCCTGCTGGCCACCTCAGCTGCAGTCATAAACAGAGTGTGTCCTCTCTGTGATCAGTAACTGCTCTCAATTACAGCATTGTGTGCTGCTCCTTTCGGCTTGGGGTTAAACTCTGTGCAGACCTCTTTGAAGTACTCATCCCTTTATCTCAAGCCAGAGCCAAGAATTTGGGGGAGGACAATGGAAAATGAAACTAAGAGGAAAGCTCATGGCAATTATCATCCAGGGCCATGAGGAAGAAGTCGGCTTACACAGACAGATAGAGAGAGAGAGAGAGCAGATAAAGTGAGCAGGAGACAACCGATGCAGGACGGGGGTTACCGTTTCAAGTTTGTTTAGTGTGTACACACCCCAGGCAACAACCGGCTGCCCAGAGAGGAAATGGAGGCTACCTCTTCAAACTGGGTGACAACAGGGGGACAATGGCCTCTGAAGGGTGCAAGGAGCTGATGAGAGGAGCTGTGATGGTGTTGGCGCAACAACCATCTAACTTAAGTGAGGCCTAAAGAGTTGAAGAAGAGGATGGGAGTAGAAGGATAAATGACAACAGAGGGAGAAGTGCTGTTGTCAGCAGAATCAAATGGCATGCAGAGAGCTAGGGAAGATACAATTAAAGTGTGGAGTTAAGACGGGCTTTGAAGTTGGACATGGTGCATAATACCCTTAAAAGTTAAGGAAGGGCAACAATTTGACAGTTTGTTACGGGGCTGAACGGAGAGGGGGGTGTTGTTTTGGAAAAGGCCCAGTTTGAGGGAAGTGTAGCTGGATTTCAGGCACCGCTTGGCCCCAGAAGGATGAGTTTTTGCAAAACAGAGAGTGTAACGTGCAAGTGGGAGTCAGAGCCTACCTGTGCATTTTGATGATGGGGATGTGTGTGTGTGAAAGATGGAAGAAGGTAAAGAGAGATGCGCCAGGGAGAGTGGAATAGGGAGCGAGACAGGTGAAAGAGAAAAGACTATGAAGAAAGGAGGAGACTTGGAATAGGTAGGGAATTGGTAGCAATGAGAAGAAATAAAAGAGAAGCAAAAAACGGGGGTGGTGTTGAAGGTTATTTATTGGTTTTTCCCTTCGTTTTAATCCCATTTTGCGCTTGACTTTTAAGTCTACCAATGTATAGAAACAATGTCGGATGCACTGTCTAATCCCGTTTGGGCCATGAAGCTCACTCCAAACTGACAGTAATGACTTTCATTTCCTCTGCCGCTCACACTGAAGCACCATGCAGACGCTGCACAGGCCAGACACCTGTGCTCCACCATGCTTGACAGGACAGCGAGAATCGATCTTAGCCTGAACTCTGGGCTCCCTGACTCATCCTTAATCCATCACTTTAACCTCTTCTTCCTCTTCCCTGACTTAGGAGTGCAGGGGTCCCAGACCGTTAAGGTGATTAACGTGCTCATTCATTCAACAGACATTAGATTTTTATCTCTTTCCACACTTCCTATTCCTCCATTAGAGAGGTGTGTGACGTATCACTGGTGTGAGCACCAACAGAAACGTGCTGTGATGGGGCCAGGCTCTTGACAAGAAGATTATCGGTAATGTTTATCACATTCAGACAAGCACCATGTCCCCAAGACAGCAGTCAATTTGAAAAAGCAGAATGGAGATGCTGAACACTGAAAAATACAAATTTCACTTTTCAGGTGTCCAAGTGCAGATCATCTGGGCAAGAGGTGGGGCACTGGACAGGTCGCCAGTCTGTCACAGGGCTGACATGTAGACAAATAACTACACACACTGACTCCTAACGGCAATTTAGAGTCACCAGTCAACCTAAGCTGCATGTCTTTGGACTGTGGGAGGAAGCTGGAGAGAGCCCATGCAGACACAGGGAGAACATGCAAACCCGGGCTCAAACTGAGAACCTTCTTGCTGTGAGGCCACAGCGCTAACCACTGTGCCACGCTTTCACCCATTCGCACTCCCAAGCAGTCACACACTGGTGACATCAACGGGAACAACTGGGGGTTCAGTGTCTTGCTGGGTGACACTGCGATGTGTTACCGCTAATTTACCGGTTACTGCTAATTTTCCGGTTAGGAGACGACCCGCTCTACCTCCTGAGCCACAGCCGCCCCAACATTAGTGCAGGTGTGGCCCTTATCTACTCACCCATTACCACTTTTAGTGCAAGAACTTGTGTATAATATGGAAAGAGGATGTGAGAAAGTGCGAGACAGAGATGCCAAATTCCCAGACACAGGGCAAGTGATACAGAAAAACCTCCTACACTGTCTTCTGTCCCTCTGCTCAACCCACACTATCAGTCCAGACAGCAGAGTCATGCCTCAATCACGCAAACAACCTACTACCCACCTTCTAACCCACTTATTCTCAAATCAGCTGCATATCTTTTTCATAGCTCTTGTTGTGTTTGAGTGACAAGGCTGAGAAAAAAGGAAAAAAAAAATCACTGCCGTAAATACGGAAGGAACAAAGAGAGAAAAATACAAGCTAGGAGAGAGAGACAAAGACAGATGAGGCAGAAAACATGATGGAAGACAGAATAAATAGTGTAAGTGAAATGTGTTCAGGGTATTTTGTGTGTGTGTGTTGTGTGAGAAGCATCGGTGATAAGTTTATCTATTCGAGCAGCGTACAGCAGCCAAAGACAAGCCTCTTAGGGTCTGACTCAGACAACAGCTCTATAAAAAGATCCAGTGACACATGAATCACATACAGTAACTTTGTCAATCACTCACTGATGCACAGTCAATCCCAGAGTCCTGTCACAAGGGCTCAGTGAAGCGCACACACCACAAATTACAAGTGTAACTGTAACAAGCAGAGAAGAGGCAGCGAATGACCTCAAATCAATGTATTAGATAGCTGATTAGAAACTACTGCAGTCTTTGAACTCCTGTCCTCAAACAACCTTGGTGATATTGCACATGAAAACTTAAAAACTAAATCTGGTTTCAGGTTCCGCAGCACAGCAACTTAAAGAGAAACCACAGTTGCTCTACATTTCTGATTCGGTGTCATACAGCAGATTTGACCTTGTGTGCAGTGGAAGTTGTGCAAACAATGAAACCTTAAATCCTTCAGTTGAAGCAAACATGAAAATTACCCAAAGTTCACATGGACCAGTGTCACACCAGCAGTGAGCACTAGCACTAAGCAAGAATATGGTGGATGAGTGGACACCTTGGGCGCTCCCAGACCGTCCTTTACTGTTGTCCCACAACAATCCATTGTCTGATGTGGAGATAAGTGACAGGAAGAGAGGACTTTGATCCTTAATGGGTCCATGTGGAAGTGAGATTCATGGCTTGTATTTACACAAGCACAACAGAGGTTATTTTGGTAGTAGACAATTGATTAGAGTGAAACTACATCAGAATAGCAACACAGGTTAAAGGGCAGGCTATGGCCTGAGCCTATTTGGGTGTAAATAAGGAAAACACGGGCTAACGAGCACCAAATAGCTTTAACCGTATCAGCAGCTTCATGTAAAGTTGAACCACAAGTTGTTTTTACACAGAGATCCCGCCGTACTACTGTCCCAGAGGGCTGCCACTATCCCGCTCTTGTACTGTTCATACAGATCTAAGGGCGGTATGATGGCCAGCCAGCCTGTGAATTCAGATGGAAGGCCGGCATTCTGCACCAGAAGTGATACATGACATCGCTCTGTGTCAACTGTCACATAAATTTTGCGCCAGTAGCCCAAAAGCCGAAAGAACAATGTCAGCAGAAATAAATGCAAATGTAGCTTTGTTGGTTCTTCAAGCATGTTTTTTTTCCACTTCACACAAAATTGGTTAGCGTGTTTCTTGTTATGTGTGCTAATGTTCTGAGTAATAACTACAGTCAATGTGTTTGTGACATCAGGAATGATGTCACACCGGTGATAGTGTTGCACACATTATGCCATCAAAACGTAGCACTTGGTCCTGGACCGCCAGTTCACCCTTTCTGCACAGGGCACGTCTGCCCTTTGTTTCACCTCTGGTACTACCTCCCAAGGCGGAACGAAAATGGCCTGCCATCCTGGGTTCCTCAGGAAATGGTATTAAGGCGTACCAATCCTGCCTTGAAAGGGCAGTGCGTACAGGGCTACAAACTGTTTTAAATGAAGTGTTTTTTGGATCATCTAACAGTATCTAAAACATCCTTTCTAAGGGTAGAACTGGACTGAGTCCAAGACTTTGTGTACAAGCTCAGGTAGGTATGAAACACATGTGTATATCTGATTGGATCTAATGGTGAAGTGAAGGAAGGCTTACTGTACATGGTATCTGTGGTTTAGTATACTGTCCTTATATTATTGTCTTTCTATGGTTAGCCTAGCTGCAAACATAACATGAAATCAAGAGAATCTGGAGACAATCCATGAAAAAGATGCATGCCTGGTTAAAAGACTCTTCCAACACCTCTTCCAAAAATGTCTATGTCCTTTTTTGGTGTAACACTACTCTTTATCCCCTTTTGTGTGATTTATTGGGTCAAAACTAAGAAATGCAATGAAATGCAAGACTCAGGCTTCAGCCTTAAAACAGGTTATACCACGTGTACGTTCTAGTTCATTTGAAGCATACTGAGGCTGTTACTGATGCACAAATCTAATCACGTATACACTACATGCGAACATGTCCACTAGAATTGCTTACATGCACACAAGTGCACATCATGTAATGTATGGTGCTGTTATGAATCCTCTGTGCGCTTCTTCCAGAAATAACAGACTTTGTGCTGAAAGACTAAATTCCTGTTTCTCAGATGTCGACGTGATAGCCCTCTCTCCTCTCGTCTTTCTTTTTGTTTCTTCTCCCCGTCTTGCTCTCCCTGCCTGGCCAGCAGAATCAGCACATCAAATAAACACAGAGCAAGGTATAGTGTTTCGTTTGGAGACAGCAGAAAAGGTCACGGACAATGGGAACACGTGGAAGTGCGTGAACTGCGGGTGTAAAAAGAAAACAATTCCAATGCAAATAAGTGTGGGGAACCCATTGAAATCAAATCTGACTGGAATATATTAATTTCTTTTGAAATGATCAGAATTCAAGCCCATGCATTCCTCACCTACCAGAAACGCAGAATACCAGCGGATGGGGGCTCAATTATCATTGGTTCATCATAAAACCTTCGGAGGAGAGCTGGAGATACGGTGGCCATTTTGTGAACTCTGGTCTGATTAATTTGACTTTGGTTTGAGTGGAGCTGCTGGTAAAACACAAGGTGGTGGCAGAGGGGGAAACACTGGGCTCAAGGACTGTAGCATTTGGCTTGAGGTTCAAACAGTCCACTTGCTGTGCTCTTTATATGAACCAACCACAAACCCCCAACTACTCTTTACAGTTCAAATGGGGACTTGAGCACAAAGGCGATGCAAAATAGTGCTGGGGGAAAGGGGGATTCAAGGTCTTTGACTTTAGTGTACAGTTACACAGCCAGGCTGGTTAACATGCGGGCTGTGGTCATATAAAAACAAGGGCAACAGCATGACTTCCCTTAATTGACAGATTAATTATAAGCTTATGCCTATAAGGTATTTGAAGAAAATGAAAAACATGCTTAAAGGAAAAAACGTAGCATGACAGAAAATGATGCAAAGTCTTTTATTAAAATTATGCATTTTTGAGAGGCTATGGAAACTGATATCAAATATCAGTAACAATGATATCAAGTTAATGATGTAAACAATATAAAACTGAACAATTTAACTAGCTGGGTACATGCAAATATTGTTTTTTCAATGAGACAAAACAAAACTGAAAATATGACAATGAATAAATAGCTCATATGTAAACTTGTGGGAGGTGACAGCACATCAAACTAAAAGATGACTGGTCCAGTGGTGTGACAGGTGTGTAAAATACTTGTAACAGTCAGCAATGCTCACATCTGACTGGATGTCTTATCCTTTATGCCCCAGTGCAGGGTCAGGCTGTGGTTCTCCAGTGGTGAACCTGTATAGAAACAGCTGGGTTATATCAACAGGAAACCATTAAACCAACACAATAATGTTTGTGCATCGATTCTGAAGAAAGCCAGTCACTTTATGCTGTGAGGCAGAGGACAGTGAAATAACTGGTTAATTACTGTGCATGACTGACAGTCCTGAGAGATGTTTTCAGAGATGTAAGCGGCAGCATCGTTTGACTAAACCTCTTATCAGTGAGTATGTATAGGTGCTTTTCATAAAAACATAAATGGCTCTTTAAGTATGACAGATTGGAGCCAAATCAAAGCCCTCAGGGCTGGAAGCTGTCATAGTCAAAGACAAGACTTCCTCTAATGTACTCCATCTGCACCATTAAGGTGTACTGTAAGCCCATTAGCCATTCTGGATGTTCATACTTATCTGTACTCACTGTCTGAGTTACAATAGCAAAGCATTTGAACATATGCATATATGCATTTTACAGAAGTGTAAACTTTCACATGAACTACGTACACGCACATATGCACCCATGTTTCTATACAGTCTAAACGATCATGCTAACCTCCTGCTGCGAGAGGCATCCAGGTCTTCCTGTAGCACAGACGCTCTCTTCTGAAGGAAGTTAACCTGCAACACAGACACAGTGCAAAGTTTGGTACAACATGAATTCACTCTGATTACATGTGTGATCAGAGTGAGGGAAGCAGGACACCAGAGAGAGTACAACATGTATGAGGATGCCGATATGGGCAGTGGAGAAGGTAGACAGCTTTGATTCAGTTGTGCTTCTGGGTGGAGGGTTTTAGCTAAGAAGAAAAAAGTGGAAGAAAGGCTTAGCTGCTGAGCCCAGGGGTCGGGACAGCACGGGCTGTAGGTCAGAAGATAAGGGCAACGGGGTTACGCCACACAGGGACAGAGGGAAGATTATGAGCCAGCTTAGTTGAGGTTAGGACATTGTGAGAGGAGGCAGCAATATTCTTTTGTTTGGTTACAAAGCATGAGTTTATTTACAAAGTGTCTTTGACTAAAGTGAAAATAAACTCCATCTACATTTTTACACAGCATGTAGAGCCTGGCAGAATAATCACAGCTCCAAAAGGATCTGTATTGTTCTGGGACTACATTCCTTTCTGTGGGGGAGACCTCAGTAAAGGTCTAGCATTTCATCTGGCACTTCACAGGGGTGAAGTATGTACAAAACCCCACTGAAATGTGGTCAGATGCCTCCAGAGACATGAAAGCTCTCCCCACCGTTTTTTCCCCTGTGAAAAAATAATGCACTTTAATGTGCAAAACACAAGACGTTAATGAGAGGAGTGACTGCTCTGGTTACGAATTCCGTTTTAGGAACACGTGATCACAGAGCTGTGGTCTGTGCACTGAAATGGGATCTTGGAAGACCTTTTTTGACCAAGGCAGAGGTTTATGCTGAGCCCACTTTATAGAAGCTTGTGCAGGATCTTAACATTATTACAGAAAAGCCAATTTTACAGTTTTAAATGCAGAGAAAATGAAAGTCCTTTATTGCAGTTTAGTGGACGACATGGCTACATGAGTGTGTCTATGATTAAGTGCCGTACCAGAACCATACATAAGACATCTTTGGTCGCATGCAAACAAGTAAGACTGGCATGTTTCTACCTGTCTGACTGATTAAAACAGAGTAGCAAAACAGTAACACATCAGTTGGGCTCTTGTAAACAAACATTTTATATGTGACTTTTCAATTTACACTGCAAGGACGGAGTCTTTGTTATAAAGCGGGCGTCCTTGAGCAGGCTGGGTTTCAGTACCCTGCTCACTTAAACCTGGTACTTTGTGCTGCAAACTCATGATTTCACCCCACTGCCCCTTAATTCATAGTCTAATTTCCAATCACAACCGGTTCCTCTGGCTGAGTGAACCTGCAGGGAATTAATAGGTAGAGGGTTACTTATGGTAGTGGTTTTATTAAACACAGCCTAAATAAGAAAAAGGACTGAAATGTTAGATATTTGTGAATTATGTTTAGATACAGTAAAAGGAGAAGTGTTTAGGTTAACCTAGAAAAACTAGACTGCATTGGGTAAAATCATAGAAAAGGTATGAATAAATGGAGAAGGAAGAATGTTTTGCAGACTGAGACCATTTTTAACATTACTGAAACTCAGCAGATTGAATATGTTTGGCATGTTTGTACTAGTCTCGCCTGTAACTGATCATTTTTCACCTGAGCTTTCAGAGAGGTGATGGTGTCCTCCAGTTCCTGTCGGAGCTCAGCCGGCATCAAACCTTTGATTTTCTCTTCGTACTCCTGACGCACCACAGTCACCTGAGCAAACAGAGGGAGGACAAATAGCGCTGGAGAATGTAATGTAATCAGGACATTTACAGATATGCACGATCCAGACACACATGCAGTCACCTGCACAGACATTATACACTGAAAAGCGCATCTGAAGTCTGATGTTTCACCTCTCATCCGAGACGCTTCTTCTGAAAAGTGTGATCTTCATTTGCATTATTGTCATTTGTTGGTCTATTTGGGGTAAAAAAAAATTTCTTTGACACAAAGAATGTTCAACACATGAGAAAGAGGTTCACTGTAAAGCCAACTGATAATATTAATCAATTAAATTAGTCAGTCATTATATCTGTAATCCTTTGATATCATTGCTTCCCATTTACATGCACGCCTGTATGTATGTATGCACTTCCAGACACGATGGCTAAATAAATACCTCCCCTTGCAGGAGGTGCACACACTTACACACAGACAGTGGGTATTCCCTCTTTATTCATGGCTCAGAGTATTCCCTCACCCTTCACATCTCCACAGGGGGTCCGCAGGCTGCACAACACCCCCTACCGGCTGCTGATGATTACAGCCAGATCTGACGCTGTGCTTTTATGGGCTCGGCACAGCTGGGTTTGGAAAAGGACAGGGCCCTTCTGGAGGGCACAACACATTAAATGCAGCAGCATCTAAACTGCTAGCTAGCTCGCTAGCTCCACTGGGGAGGACTAGAGGAAGTCTGTCTGGGGCTAAATTGCACTCCATTAAACCAGAGTCTGATTACAGACGTTACCCACAAACACACATGGATGGATGCACGCACACACATGCACAGAGCTTTTGCAGCTTTGTAAAAGCATTTTCAGCATTGCTGAATCAATTAATTCAGAGCTTGATGAATAGTTTATCGAGCTCGAGGAAACAACAGGGGCTGTGAAAAGCAACAGTTTTCATTCACATATTTCAAGGTGTAACCAGGAGAGAGTTTGAGCTTTTTAACCAAACATAATGTTCTCAGAGCCAAAGTCCAGCTAGCATTAAGAATATCTGCACACTCACTCACTCCTCAGTCTGGTCTTTCAAGAGAGCATGAATGAGGTGAGATGGAGGGAAAAAGATGGGTTTTCCAAAAATAATTTTCTTGTTGTGGATTTAACTGATTGTTCTGACTTTGGCTAATTAATCTTCCTGGGCACAATGAAAGGGATTGGGAAGCACTTCAAAGCAACCCCAGTATAAATGATTCCAACATGAAACAGCTCGCTTTGTCTCAACACAGCGTGCAGTAGATTAGCCTGCTACAACTTTGCCAATTTTTCAGGCTCCTTCTGCCCTATTCATTTTAAAGAGTGGGGCCAATAACACTGGGTTCAGAGTCCATCAGTTTACAGATATATGTATTTTTCTCACTGCATAAGAATGAAACCAAGGATAATTTGAAAGTGACTTTCAAACAAGTGGCAGGAAAGGGTCTCACAAGCTTTAATTTGAATGTCCAGGACTTAAAAAATGAGCTGAAGCTATGGGAGTGCAGATTTTCTAAATATCTATCTCTATCTATAGCAGCTTCTGTAGTCATAACAAAATCGAAAGCCAAGACAAAACACACTCTACTACCTCAGACCAGAGCAATAAACAATGGTTGAATAAATACATCCCTTACCAACCACTCTTGAATTTAAGTCTTAAATTTTTCAAAAGCCAAGCTCCTTAGTTTTGCATTCTTGGTTCATGTATGATGCAGTCATCGCTGCAATGAGAGATCCGCTCTGCCTAAATTACAAGCTCCTTTGTGGCAATGCTGTCTCCATTTTCCGTCCCATACATTAAAATGGGCAAAGCTGAAATGGCATATTCACCGGGACTCACAGAGAGCTACAGGATGACTGGATGGTGTAAATACAGTCCATCAGACTAGGCAAGCCATGAAGGTTTGCTTTAGCAACAACAATAGGGAGAAGTCCAAACTACAATTCATGTAGCTTATTATGTGAAACATTACGTTCACATATCTAGCGTTTGTTCTAATGGCTTCATGGTCAAAATGGTTCTATTATAAATGTTATGTTGTGTTCTCTGCTTATCCATCACTGTCCAAACAGGCCAGGAACAGACTCCAGCGGACAGTCAGGACTACAGAAAAGATCATCGGTGGCAGCCTGCCCTCCATGGAGGACCTGTACATCTCACGGGTCAAAAAGAGGGCAGAGAAGATTTCTGTAGACCCCTGACATGCTGGACACAAACAGTTTGAACTGCTCCCCTCTGGACGGCGCTACGGCGCACGCCAACACACAAGGACAGTTTCTTCCCTAGGGCATCACTCTTGTGAACAGTTAATTCATGTTTATAAATATATATACTGTATATAACAAGATACAGCAAACACCACAGTGCAATAACTTATAGATATAATCACTGTACATAAAATAGCTCATTTTTAACATGTATATACTGTATATGTACATATTTATCAATAGATGTTTTTTTTTACTTGTTATTCTGTTTTTCTGTTATTTGGTGCACATCGGGGGCCATTGAGCTGAAGTTAAATTCGCTGTATTTTAACATACAGTTTATGATAGATTCTTATTATAAAATAACCCCTGCATCACACATAGTGCATGTATAGTACATATGCAAAAATATGTACTGTGCTGTATATCTGCAATAACCTGAAAGCATTTGATATAGATTCCTGCTCTGGCTGCACTGTAGCAGACCAAAGCATTTCCAATCACATCTTTCCACAGCATGTCTAACTAAAGCTTAGCCAGAGTTTACGATGCAACGTGTGTGGGTGGAAGTGGCAGCCTTTTCAGTAACAACACATCTGTTGTGGTATGGTATGCTCGCCTAACAGATGTAGAAAAAAAAAAGCAGACAAGGACAGGTAAATACCAATTCAAAATGTCAGAATTCACCATCTTTCAACTGTGTTAAAATCCTAAACTGGTGGATCTCTCAAACTCCCCAAAGACGCCTGACTCCTTCCCAGAGAGACATTGCGCATTCAGCTTTGCATCTTCTCGCTTCTTCACAAATTTATTTTTCTCCATGCAAATACACATATTTCTCTTCATTCAACATCTTTTTACAGCAAAGACATGTTTTTTTTTTTGACAGGTGGCAGGAAGCATGTGACGGCCTCTGGAAAAAAAAAAAGCGTCCTCATCATCAGGACAAAAGATGGGTGCCTTTGAACAATACTGCTAATCAAAACCTCCATGAGGTTTTGGTCATTGATGAACTCCAGATGAGAGTGAGCAGGGAAGAAAGAGAGGAAGGGAAACACGGTTTTTCAAAGCCACGAAAAGGTACTTTGAATTTCTGGTAAAATCAGGTTTCATCTCCTAAGCTCTTTTTAAAAATGTGATTTTGTTTGCTCCTGATAAAGCATGTTTCTTGAGTTTTGAAGAATGCAAACAGTGGCAGTCATTTTCCCCTCCCAGTAATCGTAAAATGTCAACATTTCATCTATATATAGTCTTTAGATTGCAGTTTTGACTTTCCCTTGTGTTCGGTACTGTCACATGGTTTTTGACAGCTGCCAGCAGAAAGGAACAAGCTCTCAACACTTTGATCGTTCAAATGAAGTTTGTCACATTGTTGGGAAGCTTGATGTATGCTAATGAAGTTGGTGTGTGTGTGTGTGTGTGTGTGTGTGTGTGGGGGATGGGGTGTGTGGTTGTGTGGTTGGGGGATGAGTAGCTGCTAGACAGACATTTTTGATAAACCTCCTTGTTCCAAAGTGACAAAAACCTTGTCAGGAACAAGGGGGTATATCAAAAATGATGCCACTCATAAAGTTTGCACCTCCACATTCACTGAGTTGGCACTCAGACAGTTCACCAAGGAGCGATTTGAATTAACAATGCTTTGCTGCAAGAGGAGAAAAAAAGACACAGCTCCACCAAATGAAAACAGAAAGAAAAAAGGCAGGAGGAGATTAGAAGTCGCTACAGATCTTAGTGGAATTGTTAGAACTATGGGATGTATTGGTAGCTGCTGATGTAATGTGCCTCAAGAAAAACAGCACATAGGAAAATGACTGAACCTACAGAACATAAGTTCAACTTCTCTACATTTTTATGTCTGCTTCAAAACTGAAAACAACTACAGAAATGATTTTTTTTTTTAAATTTTACCAAACTTCCATGTTGCAGGAGGATACATCTCTGAAACTAGCACAGCTCACCATACCCACTGTATGATTATGTATTTATACAAAGAGCTGTACTCTTCAACATTCTGCTCCTTTCTTCAATGAGACCTGAAGCACACAGTGAGCTGCTGATCCGCCATTTTAGAATAGGGGAGCCTGTGAGGGCCCTGCAAATGTAAGGCACTCAACATCTGTGTGAAGTCTGGGCAGAAAGGCTGTTTTAGCATGTGAAGGACTTTATTACAAAGGCACGTCTTGACAGATAAACTTGGGCAAGGTAAGTATGAGGAGACTGAGGTCCTTAGGTTTATTATCATGAACAAACTAGAATTTCCGCCTCATGGTTGTCTGCCTCCGCCAACCAGTCAAGCTATGCTGTCTGTCCAGACTCATATAATATATGGAGTGAAGACTTAACAAGCATACTTTCTGGCAAAAGCTATCACTACAATGACATGTACGATTCTAATGAATAATTTCCAGTGAGAAACATGCTGTCTTCGCTTACAGACTATTTTTACAGACCAATACAGAGGACTGATTGAGAGGTTTGTCACATTGTGCAGTGAAAATCACCAGGAGCTCAGCAAAATCAATCAACTTGTGGAGGACTACCAGAGGAACAGGAGGCCATCAACATTTAAGCAGTTCATCCTTGAGTCTAAATGGACTCTTGTGCCAAAGTTGAAGAAATTTCCTCAAGGGATTCCTGAAATATTGTGTTCATGAGAATAGTACTGACGAATACTTTGACAACCCAAAAACACAATGGCTTCAGCCACAACTCTCGCCGGCATGAAGGCATAAAGACAATGTGTGCACACAATCATGCATAGAGGTGCTGCTGGTCTCAGGGTAGAGCACTGGGTAGATATGGCTCAAGTCTGACTCATTCCAGATCCTGCCACAGCTGGCCTGCCTGTTGAGGCATCTGATTTTAGCTCTGAGTTGGCTGATGCATAGCGATCCCTCCACTTTTATTCTACTATGGCTCACTTCCTGTTTGTGTCTCTGCTGCCAACTTTGTCAGAGCGAAACAATCTGTGGTAAATTAATGAAATGTGTTGGTGGCAGAGAATCACAAACTGTCAAGTATCTGAAATTGGTACCAAATGGTTAGACAGATTTTTGGTCTTGTTTACTCATTCTTTGCTCCAACATACTGCCTGGCTTAAATCGTAATGTTGCTGATTTTATAGCAGAAAGCAGCATTTTTGGTATCAGTACCAAAATTCCTATTTCTTACCGGTGCTGTATCAAAAAATTTCAACCATTCAACACTAAGCTCTATAAGCCACAAGCAGTAAGTATATTTTGAGAGTTGTAATGTACTTAATAAAAGTATAAATAGTAAATGGAAATACCATTAACAATAAATCAAGTCATGGGATTCTGCCAGACTTTGAAAAAACTGACCAATAAATCAATACACTGTGCCTTTGATCACTGATCACACAGTAACCAACACGTCCAAAACACATAAATGCAAAGCTAAAAAGAGCAACCCGAACACAAAATGATGTGATGTTATAGCAGGCAGGTTTAGAGGGCAGCTAAGTCACAGGAAACAGCGTGCGGCACCTGTGGGACTAGGTCAGTGTCCAACAGCTCTTAAAATCCTCTGATCCCTTCCTGCAGATTTATGGGGACGAGACACTGGGGTGTGTGACGAGTGTGTTAGGTGTGTACAAGGGTCAGTAGGCAGATCAGAGAGCTGAGTGCCTTTGGTGTACATACCAGGGTACAAAGACCAGCCTCCTGTGTGAGCTTAGTCATTAGTGCTTTCTTCTGTGTGTGTATGTCAAGGTCAAAACAGAACCTGATTAAAGGACATTCTGGAGAGCCATGGGGAGTGTGTGAGTGTGTGTGTGCATACAGAGGCCTCCCTCTGAACACAGC